ACAGTATTTTGCATGTGGTAACTTCAAAATGAAACTTTTCTTTTGACAGATAAACACTACAGGTGAAGATTGGTAAAAAGAAGCACTGATTACTGCGGTGGCCTGGAGAGGAAAAGCGCTGGTCGGTATCACATGGACAAGCTCAGTGTTTTCCAAAGATGCTGTTGAAGTAGTCTTTGCTACTGCTTTCCTTCAAAGCTCTTCATAACATGGGCTGCATGAAATCAAAGCAAACTTTCCCATTTCCTACCACATGTGAGAGTGAGAAGCAGCATGCAAGTGAAGAAAGCTTTATGTCTGGAGACAGATTTCTACCTAGGATGCCTTCTCCAGTTAATGTCGAACAGGAAGTGAAGAAACCATCAGGGCCCGAAACTGTGGTCTTCGAATTTGCACATCGCCTGTCCCAGGAAATCCTGAGTGATGCCTTGCAGCAGTGGGCAGGCAATAACATCAAGTACTATGACATCCCATATATTGAGAGTGAGGGGCCTTGACGCTGTAGGATGATGATAACTTCTTGAATTGTGGATAGAGTTGGTGCTAGCTTAAATACATGAAACAATAGCAAAAACTGATGTGAATAAATACAAATAACTACGTCTGGATGTAAAAAAAAAAAGTATGGTAATATCAAGAGTATACAATACTTACGTGAAATATGTTAAGCACTTTTTATGTTAACAGTGATTTCTACCTGCTTGGTCTTGGATTTTAGTCATTTAAAGGGCTAAACATAGGTCCTGTACCACAGTAATCAGCTGGTATGTCATAGCACTTTCTTCCTGAGGCAGTAATAGAATCACCAAAGAAATCCAATGGTTATTTTAAAGACACTCCTTTTAAAATTACTATTTGTTAATTTACACACACACATACAAATAATACATGAGAAGGGGTTTTTTTCCCCCAAAACGCCTTGGCAAGGAAATGGCACTTAAGCCACAGTAATTAACAGTGGGTCTTGTTTGTCAAAACCATTTGTGTCAAGGATTCCTACTTCTTAACACAAATGATCAAGCAGTAGAAAGCAACCCATGCAGAAATAGTCCACTTTGAAACCTGTCCTTAAGATATTTTTGTAGATGAAGGGGCGCCTGGGTGGCGCAGTCGGTTAAGTGTCCGACTTCGGCCAGGTCACGATCTCGCGGTCCGTGAGTTCGAGCCCCGCGTCAGGCTGATGGCTCAGAGCCTGGAGCCTGTTTCCGATTCTGTGTCTCCCTCTCTCTCTGCCCCTCCTCCGTTCATGCTCTGTCTCTCTCTGTCCCAAAAATAAATAAACGTTGAAAAAAAAAATTAAAAAAAAAAAAAAAGATATTTTTGTAGATGAAAAGCCTAACTACCACCTTGAACCTCAGGGCCCTAACTAACCTCAGCTATCATTGGATGACTCAAGACATCGCACATACGGCACCCGAACGAGATACAATTTACAGAAGTCATGACATTAATGTTTGTGGTATTGAATTAAGCAGCCCAGTGATATAACAAGAAAACAAGAATTTTTACAAATAGAAATACAGTAAATTTTAAAATAAATAACAGAAGCCCTAGTCAAGGTAGAAAGCAGAACCTGTTCTCAGTGCTGCATGTATGTTAAGTTTTACCGTCTCAAAGATGCAGAAGGTTGGTATATGGGCAGTCGTTCCCATTTTTCTTACTGACTGGTGGGACCAGTCTATGCATGAGTATATACAGTTGTATTACAAAACAAAAGATCAAATGCTCCTCCAAAGAGTATTCGTGTGTGTGTACGGTAACAATGCCCTTAAAGCATTTAAAGCCATATGATTTTCTTAAATTTGTCTACCTTTTTGAGGAAGTTTTTTAACAAGTAACTACTGTTTGAGATCAATGGTAATAGAAAATTTGGGAGGGGAAGAAGATATTGAGAAGACATACCTGTAGAAAAATTGGGATGCAGTCACTGGAATTTTCATCAAGATTTGCTGCACACTGACTTTAATTGGAAAGGGAATTATTTTTAAGTCTGTGTGCATTAGATTCTTTTATTTCCAACAGACCCTGGTCACCGATATCTAAAGAAAGGCAGAAGAAGACCTGCGAAATATGTATTTGGCCTTAAAAGCAGGCGGAAATGCTACCTCTAGTTTTAACCATGATACTTTGAAACCCACAAATAGAGTGAATTCTCCCGGTTGCATGGACAAAGAAAGTTCTTTGAAGTGAGTGATGTGCTATCTTTCCGTTGCCTTTAGGCACTTGGTCATTCAACTTTCATTTTACCTAGTCCCAAGATCTGAACTGTCCTATTGTACTTGCAATCTAGAAACAAAGTAGAAAAAACTCACCATCCCCATTTATACAAGGATCTGAAGTCATAAGACTAAGGGACAAAAAGTTTTCTGAAAGTGCAAAACATATTTCCAGCTCATGAAGAAAAATTTAGGTTTTTGAGTATACTAATGACTCAGACAAAAGCTTAGATGTTGCTGTTTTTCATTCATTTTGTATCTCACATCAGGATATTTTTGCTGCAAAGTCACTCACTGTTTAAAAGGTGTAATTAAGTATGTAAGGTAATACAATATTATGGTGAGAACACAAAGCCATAGCTACACTAAATTTTTCAGCATACATAGGGATGTAGACTGGCGAGTTTTATTACAGCTAAGTATTTTAACCTCAGGTTTCTCCTGTGCCTGGGCCCCTATTTCCCAGGGGGGTAGCAGGCACGCCTGTTCAGATCCATATCTAGCTAGAAGTATAATCTCTGTTGCCCTGACACTACGGCAGTATGGTTTTGTCACCAAGCACCAACCCCTCACTCCTGAATCATTTTAACAGAGTATAGTATCTGGTAGTATAGACTTATCTTGGAAATATATGCTGTATTATGTCAAAACATGGACAAGGAACTACAAGGCTTGTGTAATCAGTGAGTTAGCAGATAAACCAAGTTGGAGGCAGGCAGGAAAAAGAACTGGATAAGCAAATGTGTACTACATGTGATCATTATCAAGATATAGTTTGGCCTTGATGACGAGACAGATGAGAACATCTTTGATAGGATTCCTTCTATCATACCTTCATATTTAAATACTGGATTTACTTCACTTTGAACTTTCATGAACAGTAAAAGGTCTATTTGAGAAGGAAGGAACGTATAAAACAGACGACTGGAAGAATTATTAGCTACTGGAAAGGGAGACATTTGTTCCAACTTCTATCACAAACACAGATGAAATAAGAATAGTGGCCAAATCATAAGGGAAAGGAAACGGGGGGAAAGAGGGCCCAAGAAACAGCACTCACGTCAGGCTCCATCAGAAGACACACTGCAAAACAAGTCTCCATTGTTCTTGACTGAGGGAAGGGACACAGTAGCAAGTTCCTTTCTTTACCACCCTGACAGGTGACCAACTACTGACTCTTTTCTCTCGAGAACATCCAGGATAGGCGCAGATGAGCCGCAGCCAGTGCGACAAAGAACCTGCTGATGGCAACTGTAAACGAAGATTCTCAGAGGAAGCGTGCAGGTTCCTCACTTACACAGACTCACGTAACCCCGCAAAAGTGCTTCCCTGCTCCCTTCTCCAGTTAAAGGTCTCCTGTGTGCTCTTACCTTTCAGTTACAAGCCTTTGATATCAGAGTGCTCCATTTTCAGTTGCCTTATCTGTCCTTTGCTAACCACCTATGGTCATTAGCACTCAAAGCACAATTTGGAAGGGGATAAAAACGATCCTAGTTCCAAAGGAATAATTGGTGTCAAATTGCCTTATTAGTATTAAAAATAGACATACTGCTGAATGAATGAGCTAGCATGACACATGTATCCTACTTAATATCATTGCCATATTATGAGATGAGGGAACTATACTTTTTTATTGTATAGTTTTAGGAATCAAGTAAATTCAAGGAATAGTAGTTAAAAAACAAAGTTCCAACAAATCTATTGTTTGCTTAATCATAAGGCCCTCACTATGTATCTGTGTGGCCAAATAGAACATATCTTCCTTGGGCAAGTGGGCACAAGCTCAGATGTACTCCCTATCTCTTACTTTGCAAAACTCACATTTTGTTAGCTAATTCTCTTCCTGTAAGACTTAGCTATGAAATGGTATATTTTTTTCCAAATATTTTTGAGAAAACATTTTTTTCTAACTGTACAATAAAAGTCTAGTTGCAATTAACTAGCTATGAGTTCTTATTAAAGCAAATGCCTTTCAACATTGTATACTGTCAAATTTTTTGACATAAAGAACTTAACATTTTATGCATGTCTAATGAATACAAAGTGAATAAAAATACAAATAATTTCTTGGATCATTCAGGTCCAATTTAAGAGCTTTAAGAATATAAATGTAAACATGTCCATTATCATGCTGTCTTTAGTCTAAATCTGTTCCTCACTTTTTGGGGGGCGGAATGCTTCATGTTAAATATTAAAAATAGAAAATTTAAAGCAACTCCTTCTAGACTGCAATTTCCTCATCTAAAAGAGGAGTGCAGGATATAAGTTTTGATGTCTTTCTCAGTTCTTCCACCTTTGTTATTGAAATCTGAAATTTTCTTCATTTCTGAGGGGTTTTGGATGAAGGAAAAACTGTAACAAGTTATAAATGATAAACTGGCCTTTAAAGGTCATTCTTCTCTAGACTTTAATGTGCCAAGTCTGGAACACCCTGCAGTTTCTTGTGTACCTTAAGAAAAACTTATTTTGTCAACAGTACCAATTATTGAAGGTATTTCTATTTTGAACAAAACTCCTGCTTTCGACTTTTTTTTCCTCCTGATTTAAACTACATAATGGCAAATAATTTCCCACACTTCCTAATTTCTCATTCTGTCAGTTTAACAAATCCTAAAAAAAACAATGAGAAATAATGCTTTCACTTTCACTATAGGAAGGATTCTGGTTAATTTTAGGGAAGACCAAAGATGAGTTAATAATACTAGAGAGATAACCTCATAAAAACCTTTTTGCTTTCCCTGAGATTTCTAATATTATAAAAGGAACACTTCTACAGTAACATAATTATTTTAAAATAGATTTATTCATGCAGAAAATTCTATGAAGCATTAACACAATAGACAAAAAAATTTCAGGGCCATTTCTTAATCATCTATATATAGGTTTATTTAATCAATGTACAAACTACTACCCAAAGCCAAAACATAAGGTTCCCATTTCAATTAGAGATTTCAACTCCACAATCTCTAAAGAATTTCAAATTTTCCCATCTATAAAGCAGGGGTTGGCAAACATTTTCTGCAAAGGATCACACAGTAAATATTTTAGGCTTTGCTAGCCTGACAATATCTGTTGCAACTACTCAAAGCACCCATAGACAATATGTAGAGATGAGTATAGTTACGTTCCAATAAAGCTTCATTTGTGGACACTGATACTTGAATTTCATGTAATTTTCACACATCATGTAATATTAGTATTTGCTTTCTTCCTCTAACCATATAAAAATGCAGAAACCATTCTTAGCTGGTGGAAAAATAAATAACAGGCAGCAGGCCAGATCTGGCCCATGTGCCATAGTTTGCCAACATCTGCTCCAAAATAATCCCTTAAAAATCCAGTCACCTTATAATTTCAAATCGTTACTTGCCAGAGATTTAAAGTAACTATCCAAATCTTCTTCAGTAACTTCTTTTAGATTAGCCGGTTTCCATTTTGGGCTCTGGTCTTTATCTATTAAAACTGTCAAGTGAAGACATAAGAAATGTTAGTACATTTCTTTCAGGTATTACCAGATTTTAATTACAGAACTGACAGAAACTACCTTAACACAAAGCATATTTTCTATAGCACTTTTTCTGCAAAGTTTAAATCTTTGTATGTGTTCCATTTTTCTTTTTAAATTAAGCCCCAACAGAATTTGGATGTATGATGACCCATGTGGTTATCTCCCAACCTGCTAAGTCTGATGCCCGGAACTTGAATATAGCCTATGAACTAATGTGGTTTAAGACTTGGAACTCTTTTTCCTTCTTCAAACAAAACTGTAAATGAAATCTTCCTGTTATAAAACAGCTAAAACCAGGGTTGGTGTAGTTTAAAGGGAAGGCAGGGGAGGGTGGAGGGCCCAGATCTGCCTTCTAACCTCCTCCACATTGAGTTGAAAGGAAAATTACTTAGAAGGGGATGACTTTATGCATAATTAAACGAGGATACTGTTTTGCTGAATCCTCTGGTTCACACAGCTCTGCATTAAAATACCAGACCACCTTCAGGTTATCATAAGAAACTCGACTTCTCTTATTTCGGTGTAGTCATCATTTAGTGTAGCCACATAGCATCCCCACAGGATCATAAGTATGAGGCAATCGGCAAACCTCTCCTTTAAAAAGGTAGGCGAGTGTCCACTTCCTGGTTGTGACTGTATACTATAGTTATACAAATGTTACTGTTTGGGAAAACTTGGAGGGCACATAGGATCTCTCTATATTATTTCTTAAAACTGCATGTTAATCTACAATTATCTCAAAATTTTTTTTAAAAGAGAAAGGGACTAGGTATGGTTATGGGAGGGAATTTCAACCATATTTAAAATGTAAATAATTCTTGTGAATGATAAAAATATTTAAACATAAAAACTCTGAACTTAAAAAACCAAATTTAGTATTAAAAAGTTAAATAAAGAAGCAATCTGGAAACCAAGAAACAGGAAGCAAAGGGGCTTTCTGCATTATTAAATGTGGATACTAGAAGTTTTTAAGGCTCGGCTGCCTAGCTACATGATTCTAGCTAGTATCAGATCAGTGGTAGCATAAGTAAAAACAATTCTGGAACATTTCTTCAAGAGTCTCTTCCTTTTTAAGCCCTCTGGCCAATGCTATCATACTATCTACCTCCTTGACAGTCTGAAGGGCAAAATGAAAGAGAATATTAGTCAAATCTGTATGTTCTTTTATTTCAAACTGACATAATTTTTTACTTAGCATAGATATAACAAGTTCTTGCCATGTAGACAGCTCAGGTTTTTTCAAGTCTCGTGAGGCACCCACTCAAATCCCATTTGGTAACTCTCTAGCTCTGCTGAAATAACCTATTTTTATTTTCTTCTATAACCAGGAAGAAGTTTATTCTAGATGTTAAGAGTAAGAATTTTTAACAACCACTCCCCTAATTTGCTAGTTTATTTTATCTAATTTGCTAACATATTTTATCATTAGCAAACTGTAGCAAACATTTGGTTATTATGCAAGAACACCAGACAGTTTTACCCAGAATAGATACTGCTTTCAAAATAAGGAGCTTATGCTAAAGATGGGGCAGTATACTTTCTCTTCATTAGAAAGTAGCTTGATAAGCTCTTGCCTTATGAATCAGAATGTTGATGCTGCTTGGTTTTAACTCTGTTTCCTTAAGATAATAGACAGTAAATATGAAAAAAAAAAACAACCTTCGTTTTTTAAGTTTAAGAAGGGCTGCTATAACATATAATGAGTATTTTAGCAATAAAACCCAAATAGCACACACATCCTTCTAATAACTAATAGTTGTCTAGGCTCTGATCCACATGCAGCAAGAATTTGCAGGGAATTAGTGGGAAAAGTGCTTATTTTACCTGGTTTCTATAAAACATATAGCCATCTCCTCTGACTCAATTCCCTGTGTCTTCTAAGAGAATTCAAACCCCTGCTTATTTTTTTTTAATTTTTTTTTTCAACGTTTATTTATTTTTGGGACAGAGAGAGACAGAGCATGAACAGGGGAGGGGCAGAGAGAGAGGGAGACACAGAATCGGAAACAGGCTCCAGGCTCTGAGCCATCAGCCCAGAGCCCGACCGCGGACCTGGCTGAAGTCGGACGCTTAACCGACTGCGCCACCCAGGCGCCCCTTTTTTAAATTTTTTTTAACATTTATTCATTTTTGAAAGACAGAAAGAGACAGAGCATGAATGGGGGAGGGGCAGAGAGAGAGGGAGACACAGAATCTGAAGCAGGCTCCAGGCTCTGAGCTGTCAGCACAGAGCCCAATGCGGGGCTTGAACTCACGGACCGTGAGATCATGACCTGAGCCGAAGTCAGCCGCCCAACCGACTGAGCCACCCAGGCGCCCCTAACCCCTGCTTATTTCTGATATTTTATCATGCCATAAATTAAGATAATTCTACAATGGTGACCAGTATTTATCAAAGCTCAGAGAACATAATCTTTTATTTAGATAAAGTAAATACAGAGTCTGTACTATATTAAAGTGATCAATAAAAACATTAAAAAATTAGATGTGCAAAACACATACAAAGGTTAAGAACTCATTTTATACAACATAAAAAACAGCTATTATTTATAGGGATATGAGCTTATACATAAAAAATTGTTGCAAATTTGCTAAAAACAAAAAAAAATCAACCATTTCACTTGCTTTTTCTAAATATGCTGACTTCGGAGATGATAAAGATAAACCAGAAATTAATAAGAACACTAGCACATGTTACCAATTATGTCATATGGTTTTTCTCAATGTCAATTTTGAACTTGTCAGGTATAGGCAAAGAGGTAATGGTAGAGATTCAATGCTGCTGGGATTTTGCCAGGCCAGTACTACCAGGGGACTTGAGGGTTTCTTGCAAGGGAATAAATGCACCTTTCAAAGGTTTCAGCAACAGAATGAGTGTTCAAACTCAGCTGCACTTAGCAGAGGCAGTCTGTGTGACTGTAGAAGCAGGGTCACCTCTTAGAAATTAGGGAGCGGTGACACAGGTTATGTGAATTTTTCAAACAATATTGGTTTTAAAGACAGATCTTCCCTTATATGTCAGTTGGTAATATTAAAATAGCAACAACTTTGCAATCTTTATGAAGGTATAATTTTCACTAATAAAACAACTATCATCTTTGATTAACAGTATAGGCTCGCAAATCCTATTTCCATAATAGCCAGGAAGAAGACAACCATCACTTACCTGCCCTAACACCTTCATGAAAGTCATGGCCTCCCTGAAAGAAAATGAGATTAAATGGTGAATTTCCAGGCATCCTCATTCGCAGTGATGATCTCTCCCCTCCACCCACTGTAGCCTCCCACCCCCATGGCCATAGCCTGAAATATACATTTAGAGACTGGACTGCCTTTATGACCCACTCTCTGATCACCACCTCCGATTCTTATCTGCTCGAGTATCTTCACTTGGAAATCTCTGACCCCACTGAACACCACCGATACTACAACTTTTCCACCACTCACCTTGCTCTTCATCCAGCCCAGTCTCCCCAGTCCATTAATGTGGTCACCTTGCCTCAAAAATGTCCTCAACTCCCTCAAGCCTTTTTCCTCCCTCTAGTCTTTCCTGGCAAAATCCCAGCACCAGCTGTCCCTACCATTTACCTCTGCCTTCTTTCGAGCAGCTAAATCTTGCTGCCGAAAAATCATACAACTGTGACTGGTTTCATTTAAAATTCATGACCATACAGTGGCTAAACTTAACAATTCAGGAAACAACAGATGCTGGTGAGGATGTGGAGAAATGGGAACCCTCTTGCACTATTGGTGGGAATGCAAACTGCTGCAGCCACTCTGGAAAACTGTGGAGGTTCCTCAAAAAATTAAAAATAGAACTATCCTACAACCCAGCAATAGCAGTACTAGGAATTTATCCAAAGGATATATAGGGGCACATGTACCCCAATGTTTATAGCAGCACTTTCAACAATAGCCAAATTATGGAAAGAGCCTAAATGTCCATCAACTGATGAATGGATAAAGAAATTGTGGTTTATATACACAATGGAATACTACTTGGCAATGAGAAAGAATGAAATCATGCCATTTGCAGCAACATGGATGGAACTGGAAGGTATTATGCTGAGTGAAATAAGTCAGTCAGAGAAAGACAGATATCATATGTTTTCACTCATATCTAGATCTTGAGAAACTTAACAGAAGACCATGGGGGAAGGGAAGGTGAAAAAATGGTTACAAACAGAGAGGGAGGGAGGCAAACCTTAAGAGATTCTTAAATACAGAGAACAAACTGAGGGTTGATGCGGGGGGTGGGGTGGGAGAGGGGAAAATGGGTGATGGGCACTGAAGAGGGCACCTGTTGGGATGAGCACTGGGTATTGTATGTAAGCGATGAACCATGGGAATCTGCCCCAAAACCAAGAGCACACTTTACACACTGAATGTTAGCCAATTTGACAATAAATTATATTTTTAAAAAATTAAAAAAAATTAAAGTTCATGACCACAAACCTCAAACAGGCATGGAAAACTGCCTAACAATCCATGTTCTCTTCCCTGCTTCCCAGGATGATAATTCTAACTGCCTTCTACCTTCTCAACCTCTAATCCTAGCATATCTCTAGTTCTTTTCCTGGCATCATCAGTGTCGGCAGCATAACTCAGTGACTGACTACAATTCAAATGTCTGGACTCACCTCCTGGCTCCATTACATGGTTGGTAGCTATGTGACCTTTATCTACTAATTTCATTAATGCCAAGCTTCCTTACATGAAATGGCAACATCAATCATCATCATCATCATCATCATCATCATCATCATCATCACAGGATTATCTTACTCCACATCCCAGCACAGTGTCTGACACACAGTTAAGTATCCAGGAAATGCTATTGGTATCATCAACATAATCTTTTTTCTCTATTGGATCATTTCCAATCAATTATAAATATGTTCTAGTATCTTCCACCTTATAAAATAACAAGGAACCTCACTTGATTCCACAGTCCTAACTTCTACCCTACTTCTGTTTTAAGAAGAGTTGTGTACATATAGCCGTCACTTCTCCACATCCCATTTATTCATTTCCTCTCCAACTCACCATACTATAACTTTTGCCCCCACACTCTAAACGGCTTGCCAAAACCACCTGTAACTTCAGTGTTGCCATATGCTGAGTATGACTTTATCCCCCCCTACTGGGCACTTTCACAGTGCTTCCTCCTCCTTGAAACATTGATCTCTTGCTTTCATGACTCCTGGTTCTTCCACCTCTGTCCTTTTTCTCTTCCACCCTATTCAAAATTTCTTGGGGCTCAGATGCGGGCTCTCTCATTTTCCTTCTATATGCTCTTACCCATTCTATACCCAACACATGAGCACCTGAGTTATCAATTCTGTTAAGATAAAAGATCACGTCACTCCTCTACTCAAAAACATCCAGTACCTTCCCATGTTATTCAGAACAAAAGCCAGAGTTTTATAAAGGCCTTTGAGGAAGCTACATATGCTCTGCCCAGTCCTTCTCTACCCTGTTAGTTCTCACCTCATCTCTCTCACTCACTTGACGCTCCTTCTCTGCCCATGCCACCCATCAAGGCTTCCTGCAGCTCCTAGAACAGGCAGGCACACCCCCGCCTCATGGCTTTGTACTGCCTCTGCCCGGATGCTCTTCCCCAGATACTTACACAGCTCATTCCTTCACTTCCTTCAGGTTTTTACTCAGAGAACATCTTTTCAGTCAGGTCTTCTCTGGTCATCCTATCTGTAAATTCAAACTCTCCCTCACCTCCTCCTTATGCCATACCCTCCTTCCCACTTTACTTCTTCTCCTTAGTACTTATAATCATATACTATATATTTTATAATTTTATCTGTTTATGATCTATCTCCCCCACTATAAAGTAAGTTCCATAAGAGCAGGCATTTTTGTCTGTTTTGTGGACCTATGCATTCTTGGTGCCTCTAACAATGTCTAGCACATGGTAAGCATTCTTATTAAGTAAATAAATCTCCAAAGCTTCAGACTTAAATCTCTAACCCACAGCTCCGAGCTCCAATTCCTAAATGCATTCTTTCCTTCTCTCACATCCATCATCAAGGCCTATCAGTCCTCTCCCACATTATTCCCAAAATCATTCACTTCTCTCCGTTGCCGCCACCCTCGCCGAAGCCACTGCAACTTCACAGCTGGATTACTGCAAAAACTCAAATCTAGTCTCTACATCCCCTCTTGAATCCTTCTAACCCCATCTCCATTCAGCAGCAATAATTACTTTCTTAAAGCAAACAGAATCAAATCATCCACTGCTGAAACCCAAGGGACTTTTCGACATACTCCTTTCTCACCCTTCGGGTCACAGATGAGCACGCATCTCAAAGACATCTTTTCTGACAACTTATTTCCCTTCGTCTTTCCCACCTGCTCCTGTCCCTGCCTCATTCTCTCCCATCATCAACCTGTATGTTTCCTTTGGAGCACTTGCCACAATTTGTAACTATTTTACATATTTTGTTTACTTGGTCTTCATAGTCTCAGTAGACTCTAAATTTCATGAGAACAAGGACTGGGTCACTCTTTCTACAACATAACACTTAGCACAGAACCCGGCAACAACACAGCTAATGGATTTGCTGAAGGAAGGAAGGAATCAATCAATCCAGACAGTGCAGTAAATGTACAGTGAGAAGCATGGACTGTGTGAGGTATACTGGGGTAGTAGTGGAGAGTACAGGGCCCCCGAGGGAAACCACCTGGTTTCACAGACCATGTGTCTGCCACTTAATAGCTATACCACCTTAGGCAGGTTACTTCTCTCTGCCAGCTTCCTCATCTGTAAAGTGGAGACAAGAATAATACCTACCATTCTAGAAATAGCGTAAAATTTAACGGACAGGATGTATGTGAACTGCCTGGCATAGTACCTTTCTTAACAAACAACAGACCTCAGCTGCCACTTTCATCCTACTAGGAGCGACTTTAAGACTAAAGGGACTAACCGAATTTTATTTATAATTGGATGAACTGCTTGAACACCTTAACTATTTTTTTTGTTGTTGTTTATTTATTTATTTTGAGAGAGAATGCACGAGCAGAGGAGGGAAAGAGTGAGAGGAGGGAGAGAATCCCAAGCAGGCTCTGTGCTGCCAGCGCAGAACCCAACACAGAGCTCAATCCCACTAACGGTGAGATCATAACCCGAGTCAAAATCAAGAATCGGACGCTCAACCAACTGAGCTCCCCAGGCACTCCCCTTAACTACTGCAAGACATGAAAGTCCATTTGGGATATCTGCTTCCTGGTTATTAAACAGAGTATTTTCTTTAGGCCATAAATCTATTAACCTAAAGGCCTTCTACCCATAACACAAAAGCAGTGATTCTGCTTTCAAAGAGTTTATCGTCTACAAGAGGAAATCTCTAGGACTCTGAAATGTTTCATAAAATTAATTTTCTAGGTGATTATTTTCTACTTTAAGTGTATTTATAATGGAACTTTCAGTGCTAATCTATTAACTAAAACATGTAACAGACTAGTAACTTCAATTCATACATTATATATATGTATATATGGGTGTATATGTACATATTCTGTATACACACACACACATACATATATATATATATATATATATATTCCTTGTTTTACCAATGAGGGAACTCAGCTATAGAGAGTTTATGCCTCTTATCCCAAGGTCAGAGACCATGCCTGAAAAATGGTTAATTTCTACTCTGAATTCCACCTGAGGTTAGAGGCTTTCTTATAGTACATGCAAATGTAATTGCCATTTCATAAAGGCTTAAGAACAACTTGGAAGAATAGTTCCACACATCTTAAGTTAACTGGCCTGTTGTGTTTCCACAGAGTATATTTACAGATAGTTGTAAGTTTCTTGTTTATAGCTTTCTGTATTTTACATGCTCTACAATGAACATCTATTACTTTCATAAATAGAAAATAACTATTTTTCAAAAATTCTTACCATACAAGCTTGACTCAGCCGATATTCCATAATTAATACTTCTTGCAAGGTCTTTGAAGACCCCTCCATGAGTTGCCTTAGTGTGATCTTTAGGGATGTTGGAGACATTTTATTAATTACCTATGAAAGAAAAAAAATTTTTGCTAGGTTTAGCCCAATAGTTCCTTTATTGTCTATAATAAGCATTTTGATATAAATCTTATTAAAATTTTCTCCTTAAACAGTACTTTCATATGACAGTTTCATAAAAGTAAGATTATACCTTAGCCTAATCCTGCCAAAGCACCAGCAGTTTTCTAATCTATTATAACAAGAAAGATCATTCCATCAGTGGAATAAATTCTGTGCCTATAACTTAGTAACATAAATCTGTATTTTGTAGCTGCCTGACATAAATTATGATCCCAACTAAGTAAGCAGTGATTATGTTTAAATAAAATTAATACACATCTTATAAACAATAAATATATCAGAGGACATTTTACTTTATAAAGAAGCTGGAGTCAAAATACAGTAGTCTTTCCTTCCCTTTTTGTGACTAAAGAGAAGTGTTTTTAACTGAACTATAGTTTTTACCTATAAATAAATCAACTTACCTTAAAAGGAGAGAAAACAATTCAAGATACCATGAGATGGCTTCTACAGTATTTAAATATTTAATAAAATAAGAATTACAGGCCCAGCTGGTTGGCTACAGTGCTATACCACTTCCTTCTGCATTTAAAGATGCTATTACTAGTGTTCTGACATATGTGTATGACTGTGACCAACAGCTGCTACAAGAGGTCCCATCACATGTTGTGTAAACCTGGGGCTTGCCCTTTTCTTTATAATTGCAATATACAGTTTTCACGTGTGTTGTTGAGTGACTGTCTCAAAGGTATAAATTTCACTTTTTGAGGTCAAAGAATTCCCCACATCAAGACTCCAGGTTCTTTGTAGCATCCTCAAGTCTTGCACACAGATTTGGAGAACAGACTGAATGGAAAGGACAGCATATTACCTACCAGCTGCTAAAATTTAGATGGCTACTCTACAGGAAAAGGTCAGTGAAGATCAGTATCCTACCTGCAGTCACAATGCTGAAGAAAAGACAGAGAGAGAGAGAGAGAGAGAGAGAAAGAGAGAGAGAGAGAGAGAGAGAGAGAGAGAGAAAGCAATTAAGGCTTTTATGTACCTGATTCATTTTCACAGGAACTCACCCTTTTGCCCCCAGTGTCATACGCACATGATCTCATTTAATGCCCAAGTAGCAACACCACTCACATTCTTGCCTTTCTGGTTGCAGGCCACAAGGTTGATGGCACCCATAAAGCAGTCTGCATACTGTGCTAGGAGGCCCCTCCTTTCCACAGGCAAGAAGACAAGAGGTCCATTTTGCTGATGAAACCACTGGTTTTCTCTAGCCAGAGCCATGCCCACATTATCACAGGTGAACATCTGGAAGAACTTCATTCACAATGCTAAAAGGTGTTCTTAAAGGAGTGACACAGCCAACTTTGATCTCTTCTAGTCTGCAAAGTCAATGAAGCTCCAATTCCCTTTCCAACAGGGCTGTATTATATAAACCCACAATCACGTACCTCAGAACTACAATGATGTCTAATTGCCTGTGTCCTCTTTCTTGGTTTGGCACTTTATATGCAATCTAGAATTCTCAAAACACAAACTCTATCTTTGCTATACTTCCTCATTTGGCTACCAATTAATTTCATTAAAAAGGCCACTTAACAAGAAAGCAATCCCATTTATAATTGCACCAAAAAATAAGATACCTAGGAATAAATAACCAAGGAGATAAAAAAACCCGTATTCTGAAAACTATAGAACATTGATGAAAGAAACTGCAGATGACACAAATGGAAAGATATTCCATGCTCATGGATAAGAAGAACCAAATACTGTTAAAATGTCTATACTGCCCAAAGCAATATACAGATTTAATGCAATCCCTATCAAAATACCAACAGCATTTTCCACAGAAGTAGAATACTACTAAAATTTATATGGACGCACAAAAGACCCCAAATAGCCAAAGCAATCTTGAGAAAGAAGAACAAGGCTGGAGGTATTACAATCCCAGATTTCAAGATACACTACAAAGCTAGAGTAATCCAAGCAGTATGGTACTGGCACAAGAAGAAACACATAGACCAATGAAACAGAACAGAGACCCCAGAAATAAGCCCACACTTATACGGTCAATTAATCTACAAGAAAGGAGGCAAGAATATACAATGGGGAAAAGATAGGTTCTTTAGTAAATGGTGTTGGGAAAACTGGACAGCTACATGCAAAAGAAAGAAACTGGACCACTTTCTTACAACATACCAAAAATAAGCTCAAAATGGATAAAGACCTAAATGTGAAACCTGAAACCATAAAACTCTGAGAAGAAAACACAGGCAGTAATTTCTTTGACACTGACAGTAGAAATATTTTTCTAAAAAAAAAATTTTTTTTATATATGTCTAAGGCAAGGGAAACAAAAGCGAAAATAAACTACTGAGAGTATGTACACACACACACACACACACACACACACACACACACACACTTTTGTGCAGCGAAGGAAACCATCAACAAAATGACCAGGCAACCTACTGAATGGGGAAAGATATCTGCAAATGATATGTCCAAAAAGGAATTGATATCCAAAATATATAAAGAACTTATACAACTCAACACAAAAACAATCTAATTAAAAAGAGGCAGAAGACATGAATGGACATTTTCCCAAAGACATATACATGGCCAACAAACACATGAAAAGCAATTCAGCCTCACTAAGCATCAGGGAAATGTAAATCAAAACCACCACAAGATATCACTGTATACCTGTCAGAATAGCCAGTATCAAAAAGACCAGAAACAACAAGTGTTGGTGAGGATGTGGAGAAAAAGGAACTCTTGTGAACTGTTGGTAGGAATGCATACTGGTGCAGCCACTGGAGAAAACATTATGTAGGTTCCTCAAAAAATTAAAAATAGGATTACCATATGATCCAGTAATTCCACTACCAGGTATTTACCCAAAGAAAACAAAAACATTAATTTGAAAAGATACATGCATCCCTATGTTTATTGCAGCATTATTTACAATAGCCAAGATATGAAAGCCACTCAAGCATCCAACAACAGATGAATGAATAAAGATATGGTGTGTATATACAATGGAGCATGACTCAGCCATAAAAAAGAACGAGATCTTGACTTTTACAACATGGATGGACCTAGTGTGTATAATGCTAAGTGAAGTAAATCAGAGAAAGACAAATACTGTATGATTTCACTAATATATGGAATTTAAGAAACAAAATAAATAAACAAAGAAAAAAAGAAAAAAACAAAAACAAAACAGACTTAAATACAGAGAACTGGTGGTTGTCAGAGGGAGGCAGGTGGAGGAATGGATGAAATAGGGTAAAAAGGCTGTGTAAGGGGTCCTCCAGTTGTCTGTGCTTGTGCACACACACATAAATACACAAGAGGAAAAAAAAGGGAAGAAAATTTCATTTGAAAAGCTCCACTGGTTCAGACATTTCATGAATTAGTAATTACAGATATTTCCTAAGACAGACATCATATGTAAAGAAAGAGTATACTGGCAATTTGACACACTCAGGGTTTGAACTCGAGTCCAACAACTCAGCAGAATTCCAGTTCCACGACCTCCTACATGATCAATCTTAATTTCCTCATTAGTAAAATGGATATAGTAACACTACCTACCTCATAAATGGTATGGCAATACACGATGTGCACCATGTCAGAAACCAAGCCAAACAGGGAAGGGAACAGATGGAACATGTACTAAGTAGATTTCCCTCAGCTCTGAGGCAAGGACATACACATGTATGCACATAATACAAATGAAACCAGAGGTCACACAGAGAGGAATCCAAACCCAAGTCTACCAATTCCAAAGCCTACATTCTTCTTCTACCAGGCAAGGCAACCATAGTCAATGTCAAAGGCTAAAAAAAGGCCAAAAAGAGCAAAGATGGAAAAGATGTTACATCAGGTGTAGAAAGAAGCAAATAAAAACTTGCTCGTGCAATTTTGATGGCGGGGGGGGGGCGGGGGGGCAGACAAAGTCAGTATGGTAGCTTGAGAAAAAACAGCCAAGAGAAGGCTTTTTTGTGAAAGTAGGCAAGCTCCTGAAAATAACAGCAAAAGAAAATGTGCACTAACCCAAGAAGGTAAAATTTTGAAGATAACTGAAAGAGGGAGAGGGCTGATGCGTTAGCTCCTAAATGAGACAGGAAAGGACAGAATGAGGGCACAGATGGGGATGCTGTCCTTGACAAGAAGGTGAGACACATGTTAGAGGAATCAAAAGGATGACAGAAGAGAGTTAAAGGAGCTCATACAATACAGCCTCATTCATTAAGAAGGGAACACAGAGACTATTTAGAAAATTGGCTGAATGATTAGAATTTGGATCTTCAGCTATGTCAGAAATGTGTATGGATACGATCCTGCACCCACACAGCCTAGTAAACACATTTCTACTTGGTAAAACATTGGTTAATGCTGTCACCAAATTATCTGACCCTTTAAAGATTAGCTGTCTCCTGTATGCCAAAGAGTCATCTTCTTTCTTTCCTTTTTTTTTTTTTTTTTTTTTAAATTTTATAATTTTTTTTATTTTAAGAGACAGCGAAAGGGTGGGGGGGGGGAGGGGGTGGGGGAGGGAGAGAGAGAGAGAGAGAGAGA